TATATATATTAAATTGATACAACTATTTTGATAAAACTAAATTGTAAGAAAAAAATAATAGTTTTATTAATATGTACGTATATATATATATATATATATATATGAAAAATAATTTAGTTTTATCAAAACAGTTGTATCAATTTACTTCGTCATATACATAAGTATAGAAATGTGACATGTTTCTGAAAGTTTCAATGTTTGCTTTTTGATTTTCGTAGAAATTAGGCGTACCTATCGAAGCGAAGGTTCGCGTTCAAATGAATTTGAAAGTCGAACAACAGCGCTTCATATCGGTGGTAAAGAACTTTCCCGACATAGTCTTTCCAATCATGTGGATAGACGAGGGTATAGAAGACGTTTCGCCATCCATAAGACGATGGATCTACCTCGCAACTACGTTTATTGACGTCGCTGTACCCTGTGTGACATACGGTTTGATTCTAGTCGGATTAACGACTATCGTTATAGTGTTTGTGAAAGCATATTATAATAGTCCGGTATTGGCGCACGAGGCTATCGAACTCGGTAAAAGGACCATTAGAAGAGGTTCGTCCTTTTTGATAAACGGCCAACATCGACTAATGTCCGGTCGGGATTCCTACATCTTGCTAAGCAACAACGACATCGACGAAAAACAGGACATTATTATTGACAATTGATGAACAGCGTTTCGTGTGTTATAATTCTAATTGTTTGGTACAAGTGATGATATTTAAAAAAAAAAGTAGATCCACACGGAACAACATTTTCACAATACAAACTTCCGTTAGATGTTTAATAGACGTTATACGGAGTTATAGAGACGTCTACCAGACGTCTAACGGATGTGATGTCTGTGTGTGAGTAGTAATTTTTTTTTTTTTTTTAGTATATAAATAAAAAATGAACGACGCCTAGTTTTAATTTCTTTCTAAGTAGAGTGAATAAATTTCTATTATATTCGCGACAATCTGAAATCATTCGACCAAAAAAAAACATTTAGCATTGCGTAGACAGAATTGAAGAATCTCAGGAATTAACGCAATTAGAATTAAGACTTAGGTTTACCGTTTAATGCAGCGACGATGAATAAAATAAAAAAAAATATGGAACCACTGTGTAGTCTCTGTAAGTAATTTTAATTTATTAATTTAATTTGTGTGTGGATTTTTAATTTTGATGTTGATTGATGTTTGATTTAAGAGATATTTTTACATTCTTTTTTTTTTGTTATAAAGAACGTGGAAACTGAACACATTTGTACGAACAATATTTATAAATTAACGAATTAGTGTTAAACTGAGAATATTTATAAAATATTTCTGATCAAGACTTTAATATTGTGCTAAAATGCATAATATATCCGCTTGGAATGTTTTACTTTCGTTCGGCTAGCTTGTTCAGAAAAAAAAAAACGTGTGAGTCTCTTTCGAAAGATCTTATTAAACAATATTTTAAACTTATAGATTGTAATTAGCGCTAAAGAAAATTCGACATTAATTTAGTATATATATTTTTTTTAATCAAATTGTTTCTGTATCGAACACACGTATCGTACACTTTGAAATACGCAAAGCATTACGCTTCATGTAAAAAAATTTAAGGAATGAATCGAAAAAAATTATAATACGTATATGGGTGTGCGTATAGTTAGATATATTATCTTGTTTTATAATTGTTTAGACAAAAACTAAAAGGCTAGGCGTCCTTAATTGATAACGTTGTTATTAATTACTTGGAATATATAAGTACCTGCGCATTAGGATACAACATGGCATATAATTATGAAATGCGTCTTCTTTAACTGCGTGCACCAAAGTCTTATCGTTGTTTGACTGTCAAGAAGACTAATCAATTACAGAGTAGAAATCTAAAAATTAGCGCGTATTTTTTTATGTAGAGAAAGTCTTCCTCTCTCTCTCTCTCTCACACATTTTATGTGATTTTATTCGGTTGCGGAAGTTGTTTTTTTTTTTTTTATTATTATATTTTGGCGAAATCTAAATTCGCCAAAGAATCTGCGATTTTTTCACGTGTTGAAAGCAAAATGATAAATAATTATATATACTACGTTCGTAGTTCTGTAAACGAGAAACGTGATACGCAATCACTTCGTTAATTATGGAAGAATCGTAGAACTTCTTTTTTTTTTTTCGATAGGATCTAGATAATGTTTGATAAAAATTATGTTAAATATGTTATGTCTGTGATTTCGTCCCTATTTATACGATATATCCGAAATATTTGCATTTTAATAGGCAATGAGAAGCTCAAGCAATGAATCGAACGAAGAAAAACTCTCATTCTTACGTTACGTGGCAAGATCATAGCAAGATTACGTAGCTACGATGCTTCTTCTCAACGTGTCCCACATGTACGCGGCCATAATCTAGTGCAATATTAGTGATCTTATGTTAAATATATGTTGCCACTAATAATAATCATAGCGAACAATGTCGATTAGATAAAAAAACTATCGCCGATTGCACCGATGACTTCAGCGTCGTCTGATATAAAAGAAATTTTATACCTTATATCTAATTTCGATCGAACAAAAATTTTATGTGTAACAAGCCTATGGAAAGACATCGGAAAAAAACAAATTCAGATTAATCATCACAATTGATTGTAGTCGACATCGGTGTGTTTTGAATTAAATATAGTTCAATAATTAATCAATAGAAAATTGAGTGATATTGACGACATAATGCGATTATGTGTATCAAAGTTTGAATATTTTTAATCGATTTTGTACGTGATAAATTACACTAAGCAATAAGGTAAGCTGGTTCTAGCACAAATGGAATTTTTGTAATTGGAATTTAATAAAATCTTGTTCAAAGACACATTGACGCTGTACATTTTTCACACACTTACTTGTCATCTACTTCACTACGGATTTATAGTTACAAATATTATCTTTCGAAAATTATGTATTAAACATATTTTTCTATAATTTAATTGAATTTTTTATGCTACTTATATTTACAACATTTAAGTAGATAACATGTGTAAAGTTGTAAATTATTTATATTATCAGCGTTTTTTTTTTTTTTTTATTAATATGTAAAAGCCAAAGTAGATAAAGTAGAGAAAGAGAAATCAACGCAATATAGAATGCAAAAGATCAAACGATAAACTAATTCTAGGTAAATGTATCAGTTATAACAAAATTTTAACATCGATTATGTTGGAGAAAATTTCCGGTTCCGTACGTATTGGTCCCAGCAAATATATATATACGACATATATATATATATATATATGTCGCAAAATATGTTATAAAAAAGTAATGGAAAGTATATAAGACCTCTTTGAAGTTTTCACAATCACAAGACAGAGCATGTCTTCGACTGAAAAAAAACGAGAAAATAATTATTCAATAGCATTGCCACGTACAAGAGTAAAATTGTATCGGTGTTAATTCTGTGATTGATCTGCAAATTTTTTTACCTTAGATTTCACATGAGTTCCGCTCCTCTTCTCAGTCCCGTTTTGTACTTCTTGTTGTTTTCCTTTAAACAACTTTGTAACTTTAGCTGAAACACAATATAAATCGATTTATGCAATATCCACGCAATTTTAAACGCGATAAAAAATTCATACGCAAGTTGGAAATTGTTGAAATTTGCTATCATATCAATTCTGCTCGATTATTCGTACGATTGATTTTTTTCATAAACAAAGAATGTGCAAAAAAATTATTATTTTTCACCAACCAGTTCGCGGCGCCGGAGATTGCACCACGTCGGCATCGTCCTGCGTAACGTCCGTCTCCGCCTTCTCTGATTCTTCAGTACGTCCGTCTCCCTCAAATTTTTCTATGGTATTCTCGATAGTTTCTATAGTGTTTTTAATGTCGGTTTTTAAAATCGAAGATTTCCGTCTGTCGGTCGACTGTGAATCTTGTTCGACGTTTTCCGTCATCTTTTCCTCGTCTTTTTCTATTTCGTTATCGTTGCCGATCGCATCTTTGATATTCTCGGACTTTGCTTTTGACGACGTCGGCGATAACGCAGGACTCGCAGACATTTCCTGTTCGACTTTATCACGCGTTCTCGAAATTTCCAGTTCTGTAGACGACTCCTCATCAGGTTGATTTATATTTTTTTTATTTTCCATACTTTCGTTATTTTTGTTAGCATCGTTGCTTTGTACACTTTCTTTGTTTTCGCTATTTTCTTTGTTCTGTATATTTTCTTTGTTTTCGCTATTTTCTTTGTTCTGTATATTTTCTTTGTTTTCGCTATTTTCTTTATTCTGCAAACTCGTCTCATTACTTGGATGATTGGGAGATGTTTGCGATTCTTCGCGTTTGAGATTTGTATCTAAAACATCTTCTTGATTGTTCGCCAAATCAGTTTCCAAAGTTTTTGTCGGACTTGCGACGTTCTTGTCGTTTACTGTAGACGAAATATTTTCTTTATCGAGAACGTTTGAATCTTTCTTAAGCGCGTCATTAAGATCTGTTGACTGACTATCATTGTCATTTTGTGATTTTTCATTAATTTTATCGGTACGATGTGAATCGTTATTTTCTTTTGTCGATTTATTTTCCGCGCCGTCTCGCTGTTCATTTTGCATATTTACAGGAAGTTTCAAAGGAGGCAGAGAGCTTTTCATCGACGCAGATTGTTCCTAAAATTCAACACACGTCTTCAGATATATTATGTTAGTTCAAACTAAATCTTTAAAAATAAATCACTAATTAATAAAAGCTTTCGCTGAACTAATATTCCGTTGCGTTTAATATATAATTGCATTTATATTTGATTAACATTTAAAATAAGTGCATTTACAGATGAATCAGACTGTTGTTGCGATTGATAATTTATTTCGTGTCTTCGACCAACCAATATCGTATGACATCCTCCGCACGCAACCTGTGATAAGTAAATAAAATCTTAAAACAACGCAATAAAAAAATCCAATAAATATTTATTACGTCAGTGAATACAAACAAACTTACATTCAAGACAAAAAGTTCCTGATATTTAGCAGCGAAAGTTACTTCGTGAACGTTGTTTTCATTTTCTTCCAGACCCAACTTCCCGTGACGTCCATCACCGCACATGTACAACTTGCCAGATTCTGATAAAAAATTAATAATTACTATAATTTGCCGGTAAAAAAAAGATTTCCGCGTTCAAATATATATTTGCTAATTGAAACAAAATTTTAATTACCGGTAAGTATAGCGCTGTGACTTTCACCGCATACAATCTTGACGATCTTTTCATCTTGATAGACTCCGCTCGAAAGAAGTTTCGGCGTGAGTACTTCGTGAACGTTTGTGCCCAAACCAAGTTGTCCACTGGCGTTGCTGCCGGTACAATAAATACTGCCGTTTTCTGTAAATTTAGACAATTAGTCTTTGTGCGATCTTCCAAAATCCTCATATCTCAGTAAGCAAACACAAAAAAAGTAACGGTAACGTAACATTAATCTTATAATTTTCCACTCAACTGCGATGTAACGTGTCTTGTACGTAGCAGTTACATTGTTGAGTGAGAAATTATAACATTAACGTTACGGTTACTGTTACTTCGTGTTTACTGGGTATGTCACTGCTACACCGAAAAAATTATATTCTCGTAAGTAGAAGATTTTATACTTAAAAAATCTTCTTAAAGATTTTAGATGATATTCTTCTGAAACTAAAAAAATATATTCTTTATTTAAAAATATATTCTTAATTTAAGAATATAGTCTTTTTTGATAGTGAGATATATATGTTTTTCTATAGAGGCTTTTTATATTCTAATCAGTATATATTCTTATCAATATTGCTATTTAGAGGATTTTCCTCTTAAAATAAGAAACTCTTCTTGGCGCCTATTTTAGTATAAAATATACTTAAAGTAAGTGGGATATCCTCAAAACAAGAATACAATTTTTTCGGTGTAGATTTTAGAATATTGGAATGAAATAAGTTTGAAATAAGTTTATAATATTAGGTCTATATATATATATATATATATATATATATACCGGAAAGTTCTGTTTCCGTTTTTGGAATAAAACAAAATGCAAATTTTTCTTAATTTTTCAAAAATGGGATGTACAAATTGCCCTCACGCTGGCAAGAAATTATTAACACAATAATGTCAATTATATTATTTAATAAAGTTTATTGACGGTAAGAAAAATTTATGTATTTTGTTTTATTCCAAAAACGGACAGAACTTTCCGGTAGACCTAATATTTTGCGATATGATAATAAACAAGTGACATATAATAATATATAAATACTTATCAAACTCAACCTGCTAACACAAGAGTGTGATGACCGCCACAGGCAACGTGAATTGCCGGGACCGGCAATTGCATTTGCTTCGGTGCAACTTGAGTGGAAAAATAAACATCGATCCCGAGTTTGCCACTTTCCGACTCGCCGCAGACATAAACAAGACCACTTTCTGGAAACACAACCGTGTGTTGTTCTATTACACACGCTAACATAATTTACAATCTCTCGTGTTCATGCGAATCGCCGCGCCGCGCCGCACTGCCGCGAGCGTGTCGCAGCGGAAATGATTTTATCTCGCAAAAAGTGTGTCAGGTGACACATTCCAGGATCTCTTTAAACAGATTTGTTCAACTCTGATCAATAAAATAACCGTAAAAACGATCTCTCTCTCTCTCTCATCTCCACTTTTCTTGACGCAAAAGTGTTATATAGAAAAGATAGAAGATCTTTTTACATGCGATTCTTTCGTTATTTACATCTTCAATAATTTTTTATATAATTCGATATATCACACTAGAGAATATGTTATCATAAAGAGAAACACACACACACACACACACACCGGTCAAGAAAGCTGAATGATAATATCCCGCGCTGATTTCTTTTACAGGTTCAGGAATAGAAACTTTTGTAGGTTTGTGAACCAGGCCTGAAATTCCAGGCAATCCCAATTGTCCCTCCAGGTTGCTTCCCCAGGCAATAACCCCTCCGTCACTTGTCAGAGCAATTGAATGATGCGATCCCGCGGCAATTTGAACAATTCTGGGCCCGGCCAGACCGCAATCGTAAACTAGAATCGGAGAACTGGAGCTGTCGCCTATCGTCGAATTTTCGCGACCTAGTTGACCTTCTTGATTGCTGCCGCACGCAAAGAGTTTTTGGCTTCCTGAAAAATTAAAACATAAAAAACATTTTTTTTTAATATCACGTTGATTGCTCTCTTGCAACTAAGTATTTTTTAATACAAATTGTTTGTTAAATAATGTTAAAAACAACACAAGAGTTTTAACTTAGATATGTTATTAGTTAGAGATTTTGTGTGCGCGCGCGCGTGTGTATACTTATGTAGGTAGGTGGGTAAATAGGTCCACGTAAAATCAAAGAAAATTACTGAGAATAGAAGATTTGCCAGATACTTCACTTAGACTTCTCTATGACTTTAATCCGCTGATAAATTAATGTTTCAAATTTCTAGCAAAAAAGTTAAAGAAGTAGCATGTCATTTAGAAATTCCTGTCTTGTTGATTGAGAACGAGTTTGAAGTTGAATGACTCGACAAGTATTTTCGTTGAAATTCGCGGCACGCAAACTACATAGATACATAGAAAATAGCGTGTTCACTTGATATATCCAACACCGGCAACGGATTATATACACGTGCGTGCGTATAAAACAAAATCGTCTGGCCGCTAATTGTATATATTTGATGCTTTCGCGGTTTTTGTTCACATCTCTCTTCTCACGTATTATTATTATTAATTGTTATTTACTCACCTGTACATATTAAGGTATGCGCTCTTCCGCATGCGACGTGTGTAACTTTTTCTGGTTTCAAAACTAAAAAAATTAAACAGTTTTTCCTTCATTAAAATTATAAGCAGTTTGTATAATTAACAAAAAAGCATGATTTAAAAAAGATCCAAAAAAAAAAAAAAAATTAAACACACACATGCAACATCTGCAAATTTTTGTCTTTGTTATTTAAAATAAAAGAGAAGGTAGATACTAACTTTTAACACACGAAGGTTTGCTGATGTGATTCTTATGACCCAGACCCAGTTGACCCCAATCATTGCTGCCGAAGACGAAGAGTCTTCCGGTTTCTAATAAAATAATATAAACAAACAAACATATGAAACTATATCCTGTAAATCATATAACTAAAACCTAAAAAAAACAACAATAAGCAAACGCGTTGAGATAGATACGTTGAATATTATCTACGCGAGAAATCTTCTTTTTTTTTTTCAAAAAATTTATGTAACGATTTTATGATTGTTACACACGTCAGTAGTTTTTTTTGCGCTCAAAGAAAAAAGCAAGTTTTATTAAGATACATTGAATTGCTATAGTCAATAACGTCTAAGAGATCCAAACTATATCCAAAATATGTTGTATATTTACATATACATATGTTTTGCTGATAACAAACAATGAATATGTATAAACACGGTCAATAAGAGCCATTCGCTGGATGTTTTTTGCGGTAATATTCGTGTATATGTGTACACGAATATTACGTATATATGTGTAATTAAAACATGATAAAAACCCACGTGTATATCTTACACGTGGGTTTTTTTAATTGAGAATTTTCAATTCTGAAATTCATATAGAATGCTAATTTTGCATCTCATATATGAGAGATCCCGAATACCTTCATAATTAATTTTTAAATTAATTACTCGAGGTCTCTCATATATGAGATGCAAAGTCAGCATCCTATATAAATTTTAGAATTGAAAATTCTCAATGAAAAAAACCCACGTGTAAGATTTACACGTATATATGTGTGTGTACACATATATACACGAATATTAAAAAACAACAGCGAATGGTTCTTATTGACCGTATTTACACGTACTCATTGTTTGAAACTTCAGAGCCAAAAGATTCTCTATTAAATTGTTAATTTACTGGTAACAAATCAGCTCTATAAACATAAGCACTTTGTAATAAAAGTAAAAACTAGTATTTGGCTGAATTCGAAGAAAAGATAAAAAGAAAAACAGCTCGAGAGATAATTAAAATAAAAGTATTCTCAAGTCTTCTTTATCGCAAAATATTTTATTTATTATAAATATATGAGAACAGAGATAAAATATATGAGAATAGAGATAAATATATGATTTAACTGTCAACGTTACATTTCACGTCGTTAATGATATTCAATAGACAATATATACCGTGTCTCTATTGAATTTTAATCATATACGACTACATTTGTATCGCGTGTGTTTCTTCTTCAATTCAAACTCTGGATCTGCACGTTCTGATGTTCGATATGTATTCGATCGTAAATTTGTTCTCGTGACCTTTGGTCATACTCGTCGATCATTTTGTTGAAGAATTTTTTTGAGTTCAATTGAATGAGAGAAAAATTGTGTTTTTCTTTGGACGCGCAAGAAAAACCAAAAAAAAAATTTAGAACTTACGACAAACAACAGCGGAATGCTCGTCACCGCACTCGATTGTGACAACTGGATCCTTACGTATGAAAAAATGCGACGCAACATTGTCTGCGAATCTGCTACGGCCGATCGTGAACACCGCCCCAGTCTCTACAATGTGTAAAAAGTCGATACATCGTTAAATATTGAAGACAATGTGATTCAAGCTTTCCATCTTGAGCGCAAATTTTTCGATTAATACAAATCGTTTTCACTCAAATCGTCAATTTCGGTATATCTTTGAATTGTAAAAACGTTTGTTTGATTTTATTGTTTTATATATAAACATATTTTGTGTGCGTACCTTATGTTTTTGCATCGCATATAAATTGTTTCATATATAGCAAAGATGTTTAAATCTGATGCGTGAAGCGGGCGATTCGAACAATGAGCGGGTTGTTTTTGTTAATAAATTACTCGTAGTGTTTTTTTTATTTATTTTCGATAAATGACAATGACTCAATAACAACGCATCACATTGTATGTACAGAGGTGGACCGTTTTTTTCAATCGAGAGCATCCAATGAAGACGACAATGATAATAAAGTCGAAACGTATGGCAATATAAAATAACACTACGAGTAATTTATTAGCAAAAACAACCCGCTCGATTGTTCGAATCGCCCACTTCATACATCAGATTAAAATTTTGCATTACGAACTGGAGGTCATCCTTATCAACTACACCGAAAAAATTATATTCTTATAAGTAGAAGATTTTATACTTAAAAAATCTTCTTAAAGATTTTAGATGATATTCTTCTGAAATTAAGAATATATTCTTTATTTAAGAATATATTCTTAATTTAAGAATATAGTCTTTTTCGATAGTGAGATATAT